TAGTGAAATTCCACCTCGGGGCCAAGATTCACGGTCTAGGACTCGGCAAAGCCTCGTCCTAGACCGTGAATCTTGTCCCCTTGGTGGAATTTCACTATCCCACACTCGTAGTAATGAATGATTCTATTAATCCCGCAAAATGAAAACTGTGAGGAAGGTCAGAATTGTTTATGTAAACCTTGCATAACTGACGAACGCAATAAACAAATGTGGTGGGCATCGGAGCCTGTGCCACCAAACACACGTCTCTTAGAAAAGAAAGGTACAAATTCTTTTGGACTATGCTTTTTCATAGATGTGTGTTTTTGGATGAGAGATATATAGCTAAGAAAAGAACTGCGTTACTCAACGATCCAAGATTACTAAACGTTGTGTGCCATCGTAGGGATATTTTACCAGAATGTGTTTTAGAACTTGTTAGGTATTGGTTTCCAAATCCAAAAAATAAGCCATACATGGGACATCGTTGGAACTAAAAAATATTTTGAAGATTTCTTTTTTAATAGTGTGACTTTATAGTTATGTTTTTTTTTTTTTGTTTTTCATTTCCACTTGATTGTTTTCTGCGTCTAACCCTGCTGACAGCCACAGACACGTGTCACGCTGATAATCTTGGTTATCTCGCCGATGTGATGCTTCACTACAGTGACTAAAACAGCATGACTGACCCACAATGATAATTGTTTACACTCTCTGTGTTCTAAGCATGGGCTTTGTTTCTAATTTACAACTCGATGAATGGATAATAAAAAGTATTGAGGATTATTTTCGGAGTATTTTCGTCTTTTCTTTTGAGGTGAGAATATAGCGGCCATTAGCATGCGTCAATAGCGACGGGCATTTCCGGTGTAAATGTAAACATTTTAAAGCTGTCCATCAAACTCCAAAGAAGTTTGAAATTTCGATCGCCTCAGAATTTAAAATGAATATTATAGACATATATATATATTTACTCTGTATTGTAAACACCCAAATACACTTGATAGCTAAGTTAGATTGCTCAACAACTTTCGGAAGATGTTTATTGACGGTAAAGATATAGTTTCAAAAAAATCTCCTGCGAAGTGAAGAGTGGCAAGAAAGTTGAAATTTCCTACATTTTTCTCATTGGCTGCTATTTATACCCCAGACCCGCACTTTAACTGTGCTGCGCTGTCCCTTTGAAACTTTTGAATAGTCTTCTTGAAAAGGTCGAGAAAAGTCCATTTTTTGATTCCTCGACACCAGAATATAGGCTTGGATCTGTGATTATGGATATTGCAAATCATAGGCTTTTTAAACCCCCACATATTACTGAAGAAAATGCAGCTAAAACAATCCGTTTTATCCTTAAACTTCAATATGCCAACAAAGGAATTGATGCGGTTAAGTAATATTCTTAATCACAAAAGGGTCCAGTCTTGTATTCCACCATATTTGAAGTTAAAGACTACATCTTGTATTTCCTACAAATATACATCGACTTTTGCTTCCAAACTTTTTAATTACAAGAAAACTTTACAGGGCCTGGATATCGAATATCTGAAACATAATCCACCTTTGTGTTCATGTTCTTCTTCACCCTATAACTATAGTCCTGCTGGACACGTTATTACTGATGACGTAAATATAGTTAATAATGAGGACCTTAGATCATTAATTTTAAAAGGTACTAAATATAGGGAACCCCGATCCTTCAACTGGCGTCGGAATTTCATAAATATTATGGATTCTGTAGAGGATTATGCCAGGCGATGGGCCAGACATGAAAAAGAAGACCTTGACACTTTGTCAGAATGGATTAATTGTATCAGATGTATGTTAAAATCGCGCATTAAAAGATTGAGCGGCAATATGAGAACCATCTATCCTTCTGTATTCAATAATCCAGAAGTGAAAAAAAGAATTAGATAGATTACATGATCAGTATGTACTGGTCCCTGCTGACAAAGCTCATTATATTAAATGTATTTTAGAAGAACTTGGATTTAATTCTACAAGTGGTAATCCAACTTATACTCCTAGTTCCCTTTCTAAGGAAGAAATTCTTCAAAATCATGTCAGTTTTTAATATTTTTAATATTCTTAACGATGTTGGATCCTGATACATGTATTTAAAGTCTTAAACTTTTTTTGTCAAGTATATTTTTAGTTTCTACACACATAGCTTAATTAAAAATCAAAACAAAAAATGGGGGTCAATATGCTTCTTTCGGCGCTACAATACATTTCATTTGACCTTTTTGCACTGATATTTGTGTCTTAATCAAAAATCACATCTTCGACGTTTTCCCTCCAAAGTTTTTATCCAAATAAATCATGGGACAAAATAAATTATAAGTGCATTTAAAAAAAGACGCATTAAAATTGTGACGAAGAAAAAGTTTCAAATTGCTTCGCATAATGAATTATTTGACCTTTCTGCACTCACAAAATGTGATTTTTCTGGCATTAAAAATTTAAAAAGCAAGAAAATTATTTTAAAGTCTTAAACTTTTGCTGAATTTAAGCAGATTGATCAAAGTTATCTTATATATTCAGGAAAGAAAAACAAAAGTGGGAGTCTATAATCTAAATTGTTAGATATTACTAAAAACGTGTTAATTTTATGTTAAAATTGGCTCAGTTTTTTCCTGGACTTTCAGAATATATTTACTATATTTGTCACAATATAATGAAAGAATTCATAAGAAATAATTTATTAGATATTTCAGAGCCAGCAAAAAACATTTCACTGCAAAAAACAGCTCTATGTGCAACCAGCATGGAAAAATAGGAATCTAAACTTAACAGTACTGTATATATTTCAAAAGGGAAAAATTGATCATTTTCTTCTAAAAAACCTTCCGCCACAAAATATAGTTCCTGACTTAATCCTATTTTAATGGAATTTCATCGCGGTTTTTTCATTGGATATAGTTTAATTTGCATTGTAGAATCCAGATTCAATGTTAGAACATAAAAATGATGCAGAATTTTAAAAATAAAGGTCCTGACCAAAATCTGCTCAAAAGCTCAGGATCGAACGTCCTTAAAATGAATTTGAATTACCATATCTATATTGGTTTCCGAAACTTCATAAAAATCCTTACAAACAAAGATACAAAGCGGGTTCCAGGAAATGTTCAACAAAGCCTCTTTCTTTACTCCTCACTAAGATATTAACAGTATTGACGGAGAAACTTCAAGAGTACTGTACAACAATATATAAATATATAAATCAGATATGGATACTTTAATTCTAAGGAACTTTTTGAAAATTTGAAATCAGAAGAATTTACCAAAATCAACAGCTTAAAAACTTACGACTTTTCAACTTTATACACAACCATTCCCCATGATAAATTAAAGTCCAGGCCTTTTGATATCATTGACAGCTGCTTTTTCAATAAAAATGCATCTCGTAAATTTACTTACCTTTTCATTGGTCATTTGCAAAATTATTTTGTTAAAAAACATTTTGATTGTACACACAAGTACTCTGAAGTTGGCATTAGAAAGATATTTGAGTTTCTGATTGACAATATCTATGTGGGTTTTGGAGACCAGGTTTTCCAACAATCTACTGGAATTCCCATGGACACCAATTGCGTCCCGTTATTAGCAGACCTTATTTGTATTCATATGAAGCAGAATTTGTGCAAAATCTTATACGTGAAACGAAAAAAAACCCACTTGCTGTGGCCTTCAACTCGACATTTAGATATATCGACGACTTATTGTCAATTAACATTGGATATTTCCATTCTTATGTCGATACGATATATCACTGAGCCTGAAATAAAAGATACCACAAAGTCTGACACATCTGTTTCATATTTGGATATTTTACTTGAAAAAGACGTTAATGGTAATCTAACAACCAAGCTTTATGATAAACGTGATGACTTTAACTTTCCAATCGTCAACTTCCCTTAATTATACGACAATATACCTTCATTACCTGCATACGGGGTTTATATCTCTCAGTTAATTCGATACACAAGAGCATGCTCTTCGTATGTACAATTTCTAAAACGATGTAAATTATTGACAAACAAGTTGATGAAACAAGAATATCAGCAATCTCGTTTAAAGTCATCATTTTGTAAGTTCTATTGTCGATACAATGACCTTGCCAGCAAATCCAATTATCATCGAGTCAAATGCTGAATGACGTTTTTCATACTAATTGTTAGGCCATTATTTACACACTGAATTGTTGACGGATTTTTCCGTTATTTCCCGATCATGACAAGGAGCACACGGCGGGTGTGACCTGTCTGCAGGGGATGCTCACTCCTCCATGGCACCTGATCCCACTTCTGATGTTTTGGAGGTCCGTGTTTGCTCTGCTCCTATTTTGTATTGTTTAATGGACTTTTGAGCTTGAATACTGTTCGTTACCTCCATATATTTCATTATTATGAAGTATGGTATTGTGTATTTAGTTGGTTGTATTTTTAATTGTTTTATATTATGTTTTTTGCATAAAACTTTGTCACTTATTAGTTAAATAAATGATCATTCTTATTCCTTAAACAATGTGTTGTGTTGTATTGTGTCATACTGAGCACCACCCTATCAGTTATCCAAAAAGTCTCCTTATTGGCGGTAATTATCGGGGGTGATAATTACCGTAATTGACAGATTTGTACCTGAAATACGTTGGCGGATGGCGATGGGCGTGAGATTACGGTGAAACGGGGTTTCATTTAGCAAGGAATTTAAGACTTGGAATCTTCTTTGGCGGAAAGCGGAGGTGCCACTATAACGGAATCAGAACAGGGAGCACTGTGTGTGTGTGTGTGTGTGTGTGTGTGTGTGTAGGTATAATTACCTTTCAAAAAATATACAATTCCTGACCTGGCCATATTTTGTGATGGAGTAAAATAAAGAATTTACTTTTCTTGTTAAATGAGGCTGTTAGAATCTTGACTCAGTGTCACTGGTACAAGGTCAAGATTTTCTACATCAATTGGCTCCAACGGAAGTCCTACTTGTTGCTTTGCAATGAGCTTTGCTCTAGTTTATTAACTTACGCTGTGGTCCTACAATAAATGTTATCATTGCTGTTTCCTCTGCTCTTGCTACAGCAGTATAATTTCCATATTCTGACTGGGAAATTTTGCTTATAACAAGTGTTGACTGGGTCACACTTTCATTCACATTCACTGAAGTGAAGTTTGTCCTTGGTATTGTTTGAGTGTTATTCATCCCTTCATGTTTAAATGTCCATATAACAGATGGAGGAGGATATGCAGTGAAATAAGCTGTTATATTTAATCCTGCATTTTCTTTGATCCCCTTGTGTACAATGGTTTCACCATCAAATGGCCGAGGAGCACCTTAAAAATAAACAAATATTGTAAGACAGTACTTTGGCGGATCTTAATATTTTAAGCGTGTAAACGAACTATGGTTGTTCTGAACTCTCTAATGACTTTCATTTACTACGCCTTAAGAAAAATCTTAACCAGAAGTCTCTGTCGAGACTTAGCTCAACTAGTTTGTACTTATAACAAAGGAAGAGAAAAGCAACACTTGGACTTGAAAATTTGAAACAGAATAAATAGATTAATGATCCTTGATTTAGTCTTTTTTATGCCGAGATTGCAATCAGACTAAAACTGTAGAAGGAGTAGCTTTTAAAAAGAATTTTACAGAAATTTCGATTCTAGTTCCCATGGCAACATCATTCATCAAAAAACGATAAAGACAATTATGTATCTCAGTGTAGTCTACTTGCAATGCAACATTACATTAAATTCAGACCAAACTGTTAGAGAAGTAGCATTTTGAAAGTATTTCACAGACATTTCTATTTTTAGTAACCATGGAAACATCGTTCATCAACATAAAAAAAGAAATAATTAAAAGAATGATGTATCTTGGTGTAGTCTAGCTGTGTGCCAAGTTATATTGAAATCAAACCAAAGCTGTAGGATGAGTAGCATTTTGATTGATTGATTGTATGTTGTTTTACGTCCCATTCTAGAATTTTTCAGTCATATAGAGACGTCACCATATACCGGTGAAGGGCTTCAAATTTTGACCTTTACTCGGCACTCAGGGCCATTGAGCAGTGAGGGATCTTTATCGTGCCAACGCCTGCTGTGTCACGGGGCCTTGGTTTTTAAGGTCTCATCCGAAGGACCCGCAACTTTCACTTCATAGTGCCAAGGGCATGGCGAAGGAACAATTGCTACCCATCTTTTATCGACTTAGGTCAGTCGCGGCCGAGATTCGAACTCACAACCTCCCTTTCACAGTAATTTTTTGAAAGTATTTCACAGAAATTTCCATTTCTAGTAGCCATGGCAACACCATTCATTCAAATCAATTTTCTGGTCTATGACCAATAGAGCTAATCAAAGTACTGAAAGTACTGCCACGAGTGGATGGTATTAAATGTATAATGTTTAAATGAGTTGAGGTCTCTAATCCATATTTGGGTTATGTGAAATAAAACCTCATAAAATAATCTTTTTTTTTGGTTTTGTTCGAGAAATAAAATTAAATCGTTTTATTTTCACCTTTTCCATCATGTATTTTTAACACGTATTCTTTTTTTTTAATATCTTGAATATATAATAATTAGTGGTGTTCCAATCATCGATTATAATCGAAAATCAGTCCATTGCTGGTATAATCCAAGCGCCTGATTACAAAAGTTTTATTCTGATTAATCGGTTTATTATTTTCTTTAACAAGCGTAATAGTTTTTGAACCAAATAATCCAGCCAAAACTTATCTATGAACGTGTTTGTGTATCACAATGGTGCAGACGAACAGACAAGTGTATCCATACCCGGGAAACAAAACATGTTCACGGGTATGGACGTAAGTTTTATATCTGTAGAGCGTGTGAAGAAAAATTAAAGAAAAACAGATACACACTCAATATAACACTCAGATGATATCCTTTTATTCTTTTTCAGCAAAATGAGCAGCAAATACATATGCAGAAAGTAGTCATTTACCCATTCTTACCATTTAATTAACTAAATTGATAGCCTTTGTAAATGTCCAATTATAATCGATAATTAGTTAGTTACAGTTACCCGATCATCGATTATAAAATTCTTACCGATTCCCATCACTAATAATAATTAATCACAAACCAAACCTTTAAATACAGAAAACGTGAAAATGTGATTAGTTTCGATACATTGGGGAATCCCTTACAAGTACATAACATGAGTTGATACCATCAACTCATAAAAATGGATAAGTTTAAATAATTTATATACATGTAACTGAACAATGGCTGAGATCCAATAATAAAGGAAAATGAAACAAGAGATATTTGTGAAACACTTATGCCCCCCCTCCCCTCCCCCCCCCCCCCCCCCGAAAAAAAAAAATTAGAATTTTTCAAAGTCCAAGGAGCATAACTCTGTCAAAAATTGCTCGATTACCCAAAACAGAACTTGATCTAGATATTTTCATGATAAATCTGTATACCAAATTTCATTTCAGTATGTGTATCCTCTGTGAAGAAAATGAATTGAAACTGCAAATAACTGGAATTTTTCTGGGTCCAAGGGGCATAACTCTGTCAAAAATTGCTCGATCGTTCCCAAAAAAAGAACTTGACCTAGATATTCTTATGATAAATCTTTATACCAAATTTCATTTCAGTATGTGCAACCTCTGCGAAGATGATGAACGGAAACTGTTGGTGGACCGACAGACAGACCGACCGAAAGACCGACCGACCAACAGAGATCAGCAAAGCAATAATATGCCCTCCCTTCTTTGAAGAGGGCATAAAAATACTATATTATGTTCTCATGCACTGACCTTCCAATTGAACATAAGGATTAATTTTTCTTCTGCGTTGGAATGGAAATAGATTGAAAACTGCCAAATTTCTACAATTAGTTTTGAAATAAATTTCCACTTCACCCGAGTTCCTCTCTGGTGTGCATAACATTAAGCGACATAAAACAGGGTTTTTAAACATAAATGTTTAGATCTTTCCACCTTTCTGTGGAAAGACCTATTGATATTCTTCTGTTTATTACTATTAGGTCTTTCCACCTTTCTGTGGAAAGACCTATTGGTTTTCTTCTGTTTCTTCTTATTATTAAGTCTTTCCACCTTTCTGTGGAAAGACCTATTGATTTTCTTCTGTTTCTTATTATTAGGTCTTTCCACCTTTCTGTGGAAAGACCTCTTGAAATGCTTATGTTTATTAGGTCTTTCCACCTTCCTATGGAAAGACCTCTTGAAATGCTTGTGTTTATTATTATTATTAGGTCTTTCCACCTTTCTGTGGAAAGACCTCTTGAAATGCTTATGTTTATTATTATTAGGTCTTCCCACCTTTCTGTGGAAAGACCTATTGATTTTCTTCTGTTTATTATTAGGTCTTTCCACCTTTCTGTGGAAAGACCTCTTGAAATGCTTATGTTTATTATTATTAGGTCTTTCCACCTTTCTGTGGAAAGACCTCTTGAAATGCTTATGTTTATTATTATTAGGTCTTTCCACCTTTCTGTGGAAAGACCTATTGAAATTGTTCTGTTTATTATTATTTTTATTATTTTTCCACCGAGTGGTTTTTTGTTTCAAAAGTTATCGAAAAGATTTATGGTCCATAAGAATGTACTTCATAAAAGATTTTTGCAGTTGACCCTGCGTATATGAACTTTGACCTCTTAAGGAGTTACAACCCCTTTCGCAATAAAACCTTGTTATCGCTACTCCTTCAAAACCGTAAACCATAGAGGTACGGAACCTTCACCAATGTCTTCGACTAATTGAGGGGACTCTTCAATCTTTTCATTGCGAGAGTATTCGTCAACCCCTTTTATGAGTTATTGCTCCTGAAAGTTTTTGATGTTTACGAATAATTAAAAATTTTCAAAACGATAAGTCGTAGAGACATGGGACCAACTGCATAAGATTCATTGACCTTTGACCTTAAAATATATGCAAAGGTCAAAGGTCAAGGTCATTCAAAATATAAGAAATTAAGCTCTTTTTATATCTCTTTTGTCTTTCAACATATACTAAATACCTTTGCATCATTAATATGTCCTCTTAAAACTATTTCAAATATTTCATGCTTGTCCCCTAAGATTTACCCCTTTAAGAGTTATTGCCCCTTTTACTGAAAACCTTGTTATCGCTACTCCTCCGAAACCGTAAACCGTAGAGACACAAAACCTTCACCAATGTCTTCAGGGTCTTTAGACACAACTTCAATCTATTCAGTGCGAAAGTATCCGATGACCCCTTATATGAGTTATCCCCCTTTAACGTCTCTGCGCTTACTATTAAATCTTATAACTTTAAAACTAAAAGTCGTAGAAGCATGGGGTCAAGTGCAATGTGACCCTTGACCTTTGACCTTGAATATTTGTTCAAGGTCAAAGGTCAAGGTCATTTCAAAATTTTTAAAATTTTCATTTTTTCCATTTTTCAAGCAATTTCTGGTTTCTCTTGTATAAAAATAAACAGTAGAGAGTTAAATATGAAGAATATATGAAATTTAAAGAAGGTGGAAAGACGTCTAATTGTTCGAGAACAATTAGTCTACTAGTTATTATTATTATTATTATTCTTCCGCTGATTTTTTGTTTCGATGTTTATTGAAAAGATTATTCGTTGACCGTAAAGGTCATAAAAAGTTAGGAACAAATTTGACCCAACGTGTATAACCTATGACCCCTTTCGCAGTTATTGCCCCTTTTGATAGAAACCTTGTTATCGCTACTCCTCCGAAACCATAAACCGTAGAGGTACGGAACCTTCACAAATGACTTCGACTAATTGAGGGGACTCTTCAATCTTTTCATTGCGAAAGTATTCGTCAACCCCTTTTATGAGTTATTGCCCCTGAAAGTTTTTGATGTTTACAAATAATTAAAAATTTTCAAAACAATAAGTTATAGAGACATGGGACCAACTGAATAAGATTCAATGACCTTTGACCATATAATATATGCAAAGGTCAAAGGTCAAGGTCATTCAAAATATAAGAAATTAAGCTCTTTTTATATCTCTTTTGTCTTTCAACATATACTAAATATCTTTGCATCATTAATATGTCCTCTTAAAACTATTTCAAAGATTTCGTACTTGTCCCCTAAGATTTACCCCTTTAAAAGTTATTGCCCCTTTTACTGAAAACCTTGTTATCGCTACTCCTCCGAAACCGTAAACCGTAGAGACACAAAACCTTCACTAATGTCTTCAGGGTCTTTAGACACAACTTCAATCTATTCAGTGCGAAAGTATCCATTGACCCCTTATATGAGTTATTGCCCTTTAATGTATTTGCACTTACTATTAAACCTTATAACTTCAAAACTAAAAGGCATAGAAGCATGGGGTCAAGTGCAATGTGACCCTTGACCTTTGACCTTGAAAATTTGTTCAAGGTCAAAGGTCAAAGTCATTTCAAATTTTTAAATTTTTTTCATTTTTTCTATCTTTCAAGCCATTTATGGATTCTTTTGGTATAAAAATTACCTTTAGAGAGTAAAATGTGAAAAATATATGAAATTTAAAGAAGGTGGAAAGACCTCTAATTGTTCGAGAACAATTAGTTTACTAGTTATTATTCTTCTTCTTATTATTAAGTCTTTCCACCTTTCTGTGGAAAGACCTATTGAAATGCTTATGTTTATTATTATTATTATTTTTCCGTTAATGCCTTTTGAACCGAAAGACTTTTCGAAGAACTTTATAGTTCATGATACTCGACATCAAAAGTTATTTCGAAAAACTACCCAACGAGTATGACCTGAGACCCCTTTCGGAGTTCTTGCCCTTTGAACGAAAAACCTTGTTATCGCTACTCCTTCGAAACCATAAACCACAGAAGTACAAAACCTTAACCAATGTCTTCGACTAACTGAGTACTCGCTTCAGTGTTTCACTGCGGAAGAATTCGTCGACCCCTTTTATGAGTTATTGCCCCTGGATGTTTTTGATGTTTACGAATAATGAAAAACTTTTCTAAACGACAAGTCGTAAAGACATGGGACCAACTGCATTAGATTCTTTGACCTTAGAACTTGAAGTTAAGGTCAAGGTCAAAGGTTCTTCTTCTTTTTCTTCCCGGACTTTTGAAACCGCAAGACTTATCGAAAAACTATATAGTTCATGAGACTGGATATCAAAAGTTATTCCGAAAAACGACCCCCCGTGTTTGACCTATGACCTCTTACGAAGTTATTGCCCCTTTTGCAAGAATAGCTTGTTATCGCTACTCCTTCGAAACCGTAAACCGTAGAGGTACGGAACCTTCACCAATGTCTTCGACTAATTGAGGGGACTTTTCAATCTTTTCATTGCGAAAGTATTTGTCAACCCCTTTTATGAGTTATTGCCCCTGAAAGTTTTTGATGTTTACGAATAATTTAAAATTTTCAAAACGATAAGTCGTAGAGACATGGGACCAACTGCATAAGATTTATTGACCTTTGACCTTAAAATATATGCAAAGGTCAAAGGTCAAGGTCATTCAAAATATGAGAAATTAAGCTCTTTTTATATCTCTTTTGTCTTTCAACATGTACTAAATATCTTTGCATCATTAATATGTCCTCATAAAACTATTTCAAAGATTTCATACATGTCCCCAAAGATTTACCCCTTTAAAAGTTATTGCCCCTTTTATTGAAAACCTTGTTATCGCTACTCCTCCTAAACCGTAAACCGTAGAGGCACAAAACCTTCACTAATGCCTTCAGGGTCTTTAGACATAACTTCAATTTATTCAGTGTGAAAGTATCCGATGACCCCTTATATGAGTTATCGCCCTTTAATGTCTTTGCGCTTACTATTAAACCTAATAACTTTAAAACTAAAAGTCGTAGAAGCATGGGGTCAAGTGCAATGTGACCCTTGACCTTTGACCTTGAATATTTGTTCAAGGTCAAAGGTCAAGGTCATCTCAAAATTTTTTAAATTTTCATTTTTTCTATTTTTCAAGCCATTTATGGATTTTCTTTGAATAAAAATTAAGT